TTTTTTTTTTTTTTTTTTTTTTTTTTTTGGTTCCGCGTTCGGCCGAACGTCCGAACGCGTCAAAAGGGGGTCCCAATCGTCCGGGTTTCGGGTTCGGGTGTTCGGCCCGGCCCGAATGTCGGCAACCCTGTATATATATATATATTAATTTTTCATATTAAATTTTATTTTAAATGTGGTAAAAATTTTCGATGTAAATCTTAGGTAAAAGTTGTTCAATTTACTTTTATGCATCACACTAGGCTACCAGAGTGGCGCAAGGTCACTTGCTCGACCGTGCCAAAAATAATTAATAAATAAAAATAATATTTTTTAAATTTTATTATAAATTTGGTGAATAATTTCGACGTGACCTTCAGACAAAAGTTGCTCAGTTTATTTTTTTGCATAACATAGTTTTTTTCTCAGATTTTTTGGAAATATTTTTTTGAAGGGGGGGATAACTGTCCTTGGTCCTTGCACGGGCTGGCCACCCGGGACCCGGACAGCCCGACCGGTAGCCTAGGCATCATATAGTTTATTTCATAGTTTTTTTTATTTTTTTATTTTTATTTTTTTTTATTGGGCCCTTCCGTGGTCCTTGCCCAAACAAGGTGATCCGAACGATCCGACTAGTAACCCAGCTTCTACACGTAGTATATCATGAATGTTATTTTGTTTTAATCATAAAAATGATTACAAAAAATACATAGTTTATATAATATCGATCGATATTATTTACAATAAAAAATAATATAATATCAACGATTTTTTTCTTTTCTAACTTTGACATTTTTTGTTATATCCTTCCTATGCCAATAAGAATTATGATCCCGATGGACCACGCAGATATACTTGCATTTTACAAAGCGGATGATCGTAAACTTTGTCCTCCTTCACGCTCTCAAATGAAACAATCCATGGAATCCTTAATTCATCACTTTAAGCTTTACATCAAAGCGGATGATCGTAAACTTTGTCCTCCTTCACGCTCTCAAATGAAACAATCCATGGAATCCTTAATTCATCACTTTAAGCTTTACACGGAGGGTGTGTCTGTATCTCTCTGGTTGAAGATATAGTCCGATGCCATTAGGAAACTAGTGGTTGAATTGACCCGAGCTTATTTCACCGCAGCAACCATGATTATAGCGGTGTCAACTGGAATCAAGATATTTAGTTGGAGCTTAATCAGCAGGTGCGAAGCACAAAAAGTCATAATGGGATATCTCTCCTAAGTACCCAAATTCATGCCGTGAAATGGAAGGCACAAAATCAAGTCTCTTGGGTTAGGCGCGAAGCGCACGGAAAAGCAGACCGGACTTGATCTTCTACTACAAATTGAGTTTGTTTCATACGCCCCTCTGTGTAGGCCGAA